TGTTAGGGAAGATACTGGTAGGGTTTTGAGCTGGGATGGGGGTGGGGTATAGGGGCTGGTAGAAACAAGATAAAAGGAATGAAAAGGTAGAAAAAACAAGAAAAACCTTCTGTTCCCATCTTGTTCCAGAATAGCTTGTCAAACAGACATCAGACATTCTTCTGCCATTTGCCTCCAGTATATGTTTACTAACTTCGTGGACACTTTTTGAGAAGTATTAGATTCATTGTGACAGAGCTGAAATTATTCAGTTATAGCCCTCCTATGGGGGAAGCCAATTCAGCTGATTTTTCATTCCCAGAGCTTCAATTTTCAATGCTGAACAAGACTTTGCCAAAAACATTTTTTATTTTATGCTTTCTTTGAGCCAGCACCAAATGGTAGACATTGTTTCTTCTTAATTGACTCCATCTGCAAGCCATACCATTCCAGAGCCTCTGGAAGGGAAGAGAGAACTTTCCAAACCCTCGATTCATTACTTGATTAATCAACGAGCTGAGTGTTCACATCTGGATCTCACTGGCTTTGCTCTAGCAAGCATACCTGCACACAAGAACGTGAGTGATTGCGTTACTCATCCCATGTCTTGTTCCAATACAGACATGAACTGTCTTTGTTTGGAACTGCAAGATTAGCAGGAAAATGGGTTGAGGAGCAGGCTCTGCATTTGGCCAGGCTGGCAATCCTAGCTGCAAAGAGCTTATGGCCCAAGCAAAGCCACAGCCAACAGTCTGGGTGAGCCAAGGACATCTGGCTCTTCCACAAAGAGCAGGCACTGACCCAGCAAGGGGGAAGAGAAACCCCTCTAACGAATGCAGATGTTCCCGAGCTCCTGCCTTGTGTGCTGCATGTGTTACCATGGTTCTGAGCACTTGGCTTAGACCGGGGTGAAGCACAACTCTGAGTTGCATCTAGGTCAACCCTGGATGAAGATTCTTAGTCTTCCTTCTCCCCAAAATGCTAGGAAGGGTCAGCTTATGAATGAGGGACACGGGAGGGAGGCACTTTTGGAAAGAGAATGGAGAAGTGTTCTTTAGCATTAAGGTAACAGCCCTGGCAGGAATAGCTATTTAAGGAGACATTTGTGCCCCTCCCTTTAGACAACACATCCCAACAACTGGACATTTATCCAGGAAACTCATGCTGGCATTCCCCCAGGAGCATCCCTCCCAGAGATTTCTTATGGTTCTCATCCCGACTATCAGACCAATTGCAGAGTGGTACCATAAACCATGGGAGTGTGTGACAATGCTGGTTGGTAGCTTTTGTCTTCTGTTTAAGCCTATAGCTCATGTCAGGACATAGAAGATGGGCTGGTGGTGTCACTGGGTCTCCTTGTTTCCCTTCCCACATGGCCACATTGAATACCTCTCTGTCCCTCTCCCTCTCCCTCTCTCTCTCTCTCTCTCTCTCTCTCTCTCTCTCTCTCTCTCTCTCACACACACACACACACACACACACACGCACTGTGTCTTTAGTTGGCCTATCGAGGGCAGGTGGCACAGCACCATTTGCTAGGATTGCCAGGACCCAGGCTCTAACGCTAAGAGCTATAGTAACATTACTTTTAATGGTCGGTGATAAAAGGCAGAACTGGAACTAAGACATAAATGGTTGTCTCTCTGCCCAAATGTGCCCTGCTGCAGCTTTGTCTGTAGACTGGGGAAGTGTTTCCAATAGAGCAGTTAAAACTGGGCTGGGAGGGAAGTGACCCTCTGAGGAACAGAGGGAAGATGAGACCAAACGCATTTTCCATAAAGAGTATACCAGAAGCTAGCTAACAAGCGCTGGGCATACTTCAACCTCACTTCACCTTATGATTTTGTCCCCTGGATGTTTTTATGTTAATAGAAGGTGTAATGTTTTCCTTAAACAAATACAGACCAGAAATGACTTGGCTGTTGGGTTTTGTTTTTAAGGTATCCTTTAATGAAGAATGTTCGTGTGTGCCATTCACCAGTTTCAAACACACCTAGGCATTTCCACCCTGCATTCTGTTTTCAGAACATGCTTTTGTTCATAGACCTAGCCATGAGTCTTCTTTGGGTGACTGCTCGCCCAGAGTCCCTCAGTCTCTGCAGTCCTGACCTCCAGGCCTGCACCCTGAGGATTCTTTGTCTGGGCAGGCGTTTGCTGGATGTTGGGCAGTGGCTGCTACCGATGGAATGTAAAAATCACCCTCCTGTGCAAGAATTGTCAAACCTCCCCCTCTTCCTGTAACATCGACTCAGAAACAGCTTTTCTAAAGAGAGCCGGCCCCTCACTTGGGCTCACAGGTAGTAAAACGTGGAGTAGGCGTGGCACCATCTTCCCTTCCTTCATTTTACATCTGCCCTTTATCTTAAAACTGGGTGGGACGGATTCCTGCTTAACTCTGCACGTAGGTATGCTGGCCACTCAAACAGTGTCCAAATGCCAGCCATGCTTTCCCTATCTCTCACCCCTTTAAGGCTGATGGCACTTAAAGAGAGCCCAGGATACACATTTTTAGACAAGGTCTCAATATGTAGTCCTGGCTGACCTTGAACTCATAGAGAGCAAATGCTGGAGGGCCATACAATCAGCATTTTACAATGCCCATTTCCAGACTCACAAGAAGTTGCCTCAAAGTCTCAGCTGCTGCCTTAAAGGTGCAGCCCTGCATTCCAGGAACAGCAGGCCTCTGCTGACAGAACGTTCCGTGACAGCAACAATTGTCTCACAGGAACCAGATAGTCCCTCAAGCAGTAAGGATGTCCTGGAATCTGCTTGCAGAGCCGGTACTGAGATAACGTTCAACCACACCACCTTCAAGATGGGCGTCACCCAGCCCCTTTACCCGTTCTTCCCAGTGTGGCCACGCTGACCAAATCTTCCTCTGCCTCATCTGTTCACTGCTTGGTTTTGTTTCTGCTTGTTTTATTGTTGCTTGACTGGTCGTTGTTCTATGGCAAGCTGACCTCAAAACTGCAGTGACCCTCCTGCCTCTGCCTCTCAAGTGCTGGAACTGTAGAGCTACCACAGCCAGCTCTATTTACCTCTTTAGTCCATGTACGTGGATGAGTGGCTCAGCTTTGCCTGTTGGGACTCCCAGACTAGGGACTTTTGTCCTGTAACTGGTGATACTCTGATCTCTGAAACATGGGCTCCAGCTTTAAGAAAACCATGGAACATGAAAACGTGACAGGCACCCATTTGAAAAACCAGTGTCTTGGTGCCCCAAGGATTGCAATACCTACACAGTATTTTAGCAGGCCCTACACGTCCACCTAATAGCCATTCCTTCATCCTTCTCTACATCTACAGTGGGCAGATCAGTGACCTCAGGAGAGATCACGGGAGCCCCCTCTGCTGGTGGTTGGTGGGAGGCTGGGAAGGGTGTTGCCTGGTTTAGACAGTAAGACATAAAAGCCAGTAAAGTGGGGAGAAACACTCTTTATGATAAGATAAACAGTATGAATATGTTTATTCTGCTACCACTTTGGCAAAGCTGAGGGACACAAGAGCTCTGGCCTTGATAATAATGTGGGTTGCAGAGCCCACTTTGGAAGGCTAACATCCAGAAGGTTCACTAACTGACATAATTCAATACACCTCTATTGCCCAAGCCTAGGACTGGCAACCTACATAGTCTAAGGGGCAAAATTCAAGAGCTGAAAATTTCTTTCTTCCTTTCCCCCCCCCCCTTTCTTTTTTTGATTTTTCCTGACAGGGTTTCTCTGTGGTTTTGGAGCCTGTCCTAGAATTAGCTCTGTAGACCAGGCTGGCCTCGAACTCACAGAGATCCGCCTGCCTCTGCCTCCCGAGTGCTGGGATTAAAGGCGTGCGGCACCAACGCTTCTTTGTTTTAAGAAAGAGGGGCAAAAGGGAAACAAAGGCAGAGACCGTGTGGGGTCCACAAACCTAAAATCTTTACTGTTACTCTTGGAAGAAAACGTTTGCCTGCCTTGATGGAAATCACCCGTGGCTACACTGTATTCTGCAACTCAAGACATTTTTAATATAGCACTGAAAGCTATATTCGTTTTAGTCACAGAAACTAATGTTGGCCATAGTCCAAGTAGACAATTCGAAAATAATATTTGTCATTATTTCAATTTATTATAAAAGGATGCCAAATTGAGACCATCAAAAAATGTTTTTTTCAACTTTTTAACATGACTTTCTATCCCTCGGAGCTTCAAATAATATTTCTTCCCTTTCTAGATCAGAATGACGAAGCTTCTTGATGAATACTATCCCCAAAGGAGGTCAGAGTGCCCTGCCATCTGAGCAAGGCATTTCTTGCATGAGGAGGCCAACCCCAGCAGACCCCACAGAGGACAGGGGTGACACAGACACGTCACATGAACAAACTCACTCACGGACGTAATAAATGACATCTTCTGTGGAGACAGAACTGGCACTTCCTGCTGACTCACCCAGAGTGACACTTCCATGGAAGCCACCAAACCCTCCCCCTTCAACTCCAAGCTCCAAATTAATGCTTCTGGTTCCCATCGGGCCCAAGTGCTCAGCACAGCCTAGGTGAAGGGCTTAATTCTTAACAGAAAGGTATGTATTGAGAACACCAGGTCCAGAAAGAAAAGGTCCAATGGGCGAAAGCCCAGGAGTGCTGTGCAAGTCAGAGCCCTTGCCAGCTGCACCAGACGGTGACTGAGCCCTGTGCAGTTAAGGCGGCCTTCCTTGGTTCAATCAGCCTCCCTTCATCATTGTAGTCCAGATCTTACACTGTACCTAGTAAGTGCTCAATAAAAGCAAGGAAAGGCAGAGGTGCGGAGGGGCAGGGAGAGAGGGAGAGACATGGGAAAGAGAGGGAAAGGAGGGAGAGAAAGAGGCTGAGAGGGAGAGGGAGAGGGGAGGGAGGGAGAGGGGAGGGAGGGAGAGGGGAGGAGGGAGAGGGAAGGGAGGGAGAGGGGAGGGAGGGAGAGGGGAGGGAGGGAGAGGGGAGGAGGGAGAGGGAGGGGAAGAGGGAAAGGGGAGGAGAGGGAAGGAGAGGGAGAGAGAGAGGGAGATCACGTTTATACCCAGTACTGGTTGTGTTTCAGTGCTGGGTTGGTTTGTCGGCAGAGCTTGGCCATGTCTGGATGCAGGTTCACCCACGCCTCCCAGGGAGCACACTTCTCTACAGGCTCAGCCCCGGGAGAGGCCTCCTGATCATACTGTGGGGGCAGGAACAGACTGGTGTCGGGGCTGCTGGAGTTTCTCATCAGGGGAGTCACCTTGACTGTGGGAATGGCTCCAGTCCTTTCTGTCCTGCAGCTGGGAGGTGGGGATTTGAACTTGGTCTTGGGCTGGAGAACAGAGTTGGCCTTTTCCTTCTTTTGTCTCAGCAGCCAGACACACAGGGCCACAGCAGTCACCATCAGGAGGAGGAACACAGCAGCCAAGGGGGTAACCACCGTCAGAGGGTAACTGCTGTCTCTGGGCCCCAAGGCTCCCCCAGAAATGGCTTTGGTGGCAGCATATGGCCAAATGACCCTGGTGGGGGAGACTTTGCCACCCTTGAGCTGTCCCCAGGAATCTGTCCCCTGCCATTTGCTCTGCGTCAGAGTCCCTGGAGTTTCTGTCCGTGTTATAATGGAAGCCCTAGGTTTTTTCTGAGAGGAAGCCGAGGCCATGAGGTGCTCTCCAGTGATGAGTAAAGGCACTTCAGGCATAAATGTCTGTAAAGGTAAGGGGTCTGGGGGCACTATGGTAAAGGCCAGATACCCCGTTGCGGGCTGCACATGGTCCGCACGGAGCATGAAGGTGAAGGAGTCATTCAGTGTCCCGGCGCCCGTTAGGTTAGCACGAGGCTCAAGCACCAGCTGACCTCGGTCGACGTCTCTCTGGGTGAACCGAGTGGCTTCTCCCATCACAGGGCTGTCAGCGGCTCTTCGTACAAGTCGCCCATGGGTGGGGGGTTGTATCACTTCAAATGTGGGGTCACTGTGCGTCCTGTCAGCTAGCTCAGTCGCATCTAGGTCCTCCCTCTGCAGCCGATGAGGCACTCTGTTGGCCACTTTCAGGTTCTGTGTAACCCGCAGTAAAGGCTGCACTCTGATGCCCAGGGTCTGTTCTGTCAAGTTGCTCTCTGCTGTAAACAGTGAGAACTGCACCTGATCGTCCCAGGCTGTGAGGTTGGTCATGTGGTAAGAGAGTCTTCCCGCATCCAAATCCTCCTGTGCAAAGCTGGTGACCACCTGGTTTTCAATCAGCAGGCAGCCACTTCGGAGGGGCTGTGTTACCTTGTAGATGATCTGGAGGCTCTTCCCATTGGTTGCTGCAGACAGGTGAGCGTTGGTGATGGGGACAGTGGTCTGGCCTTGTGGGAGAAGGAGGTCTGTGAGGTTCACCAGGGTGATGGAGATGGGGATGACGTCCAGGTGGAAGAGCTTGCAGAGAGGGCGATGTCCACCATCAGTCACACTAAAATAGAACACTCCAGAGGACGGGCTTCCATCTTGTATGAACCACACCTGAGCGTCATTGATGTCAGCTTGTGTAAAACGGTGAGCAGCAGTGTCTAGGTCGTGAGCCATTGCTAAAAAGCCATTGTTGGGATGACGGATGATCATGTACTGTATTTCATTCGGAGGAGTGTCCAGATCATCTACTCTTAGGATTTCAGGGCCCACAGGCAACCTGCTGCCCTGGAGAACCGTCAAACAAAGCCCCTTGGTCTTTAATTCTGGAGGCTGATCATTCACGGGGGTGATGGTAATGTTGAATATCTCTTCCAGAAAGTCAGCCTCTGGCTTGCTGGCAGAGTTGCTCTTTAGGTTTGGCCAAACAGCGAAAGTGAAATTATCAGCCAATGATTCAGAGTCATCATGAAGATACGTGACTTCAAGTGCATTAACTATATGCTGGGAGAAGTAGGGTTTTCCTATGGTGATGTTTCTTTCTCCAACCATAATGGTTCCGTGTTTGGGAAGAGCTGTAACCTGGAACCAGATTTCATGGGAAGAACGCTGTGGTTGGGGCAGCTGAAGTAAGAGGTTGGAAGCATCTAGCTTAGCTCGGTCAATGAGAACTTTATCTCCCTCCTTGACAGAGGCTCCTATTGAAACAGAGAACCAAGACACATTTAATCAGACATTGCAGATGAAGGTCCTAAAGCTCTCTCCCAAGTACACCTCTCGGTCCATTATTCTAAACACACAGACTGCTCAGGTACCTGAATTAGCACATGAAGAATAAAACTTAAGCATAAGCATAAAAAAAAACTTAAGCATTAACACATCTCTATGGAAGCCAAACAGAGGTCCCTCAAAAAAACTGAAAATAGGACTACAATATGACCCAGCTACACACGCTTGGATGCACACTCCAAGAGCTCTTAGTCAACATTCCACAGAGATATCTGCCCAGCAATACTTCCTGCTGCATTATTCACGGCAGGCAGACTGTAAGATCAGACTAGATGCCCATTAACAGACCAATGGTAAGGAAAATATGGTACATATATACGGCGGAATCCTACACTGCCATAAGGAAAAAGGGAATTATGACATTTTGAGAAAAATGAATGTGATTGGAGATGAGTTTGCTAAGTTAAATAAGTGAAACTAAGAAGGACAAATGTCACATGTTTTCTCTTACTCTAAGAACCCAGGGGTGTGTGTGTGTGTGTGTGTGTGCGCGCGTGTGTGTGTGTGCGTGTGTGTGAGTGTGTGTGTGTGTGTGTGTGTGTGTGCGCGTGTGTGTGTGCGTGTGTGTGAGTGTGTGTGTGTGTGTGTGCGTGTGTGTGTGAGCGCGTGTGTGTGTGCGTGTGTGTGTGCGCGCGTGTGTGTGTGTGTGTGTTTGGAGGTCACAGCAGTACAAGAGGGATCACCTGAAGGGAGATGGGAAGTGGAGATGGGAAGCGGGGAGGATAGCATGCGTGTGGCAGGACACAGAGGGGGAAGGAAGGGAAATGGCGGGCGCAGAGGAAGGGCACGGGGAGGAAGCAGGGAGAAGATTGGGAAGAGAATGCAAACATTTCAGGCAAGCAAGTGTCACAACCCGTACACTCACTTTTAAGATGTTCATCTCCTAACTTACCTTGCCTGAATTTCTCCTGGTATGGAGGTAGGCACTATCTTTTAACAAATCTTCTCCATTCATCATTTTTATTTTCATCAACAGTTTTCAGTCATGGCCGTGCTAAACCTCCCAATTGGAGGTATAGAGACTTTTAACAGCCAAACTCATTCCTCACCTGTAGGCTCGAGACAGGAAATAACTGAGGGCATCCAGAGTGAGTGCCACTGGCTGTGACTTGAAGAGGATGATACTGTGGCACTGGCACAAAGTTTATTTTTCTCTCTTCTACAGTGGCAAAACACTGGCTGCCCATAGCTTTGGTGGTGTGAGAGCCAAAGTTACATTTTAAGTTTTAATTACTGTGCCTTAGAGAACCATGAAACAAAGATGCCTTTACAGACAGTTCCTGAAGTGCTGGAGGCTGCTGTTTATGGGAGATCAAAAAGCCACACGTTTTCACTCCCCTAAGCGAGTTGTTTTACTCATATGCTAGAGATGTGCTTGATCACATGTGGGTGGGAAGTTCTCAGGCAGGAAATACGTCCGAATGTATGCTTGCCCCAATCGGACCTGATGGGAAATGCAATGAATTGTGGGGGTTTCCTTCTTAAACCCTTGCAAAACAGGCCCATTTCCCAAGGACCAGGGTAGGGACCTGGCCAAAGCCTATCCACCTGGCCAGTATTTAATTAAAGCTTGTTTCAGATTTGGCTTTAAATTGTGGTGGTGGTCTTATTCTCCACCGGTGGGATTAACGGTGGCAGTACCTGTATTTGCAAGCAGCTGGCTTTGTCGGCCTGACTCGTTGGTTTCATATGAAATGGTAATCTGGAAATCCTCTGGTCCCAGTGCAGCAGGAGGGGAGGATGCCGTGAACGTGAAGGAGTCTTCTGAAGCCCACCCAGTGCCCTCTAGGTCCACATGCTGGTATAGTATCCGCCCTTCACTGACCTGGACAGACGGAAGGACAGTTAGCTCCCAGCTTCCGGAATACAAGCATCATCATCATCACACATTCTAACTGGAGGAGACATGCTCTTTTTAGTGCTTCCTATATTCATGCCCAGATTATCCCATGTATTTGTGTAAAAGAAAAACAAAATGAAAAACATGGTGACTGTTACGAGTAGGTTTTTCCGGCAGCCGGTCCCACAGCCATACCTGCCCCAAATAACACACCAAGACTCTGTATTAGATATAATGCTGTTGGCCAGGTACTTGTTTCTTACCAGCTAGCTCTGTCTTAATTATTAACCCATTTCTATTAATCTAAGTATTTCCATGTGGTCTCATCTTACTGGGGAGTGGGGCCAGCGTCTGGTCTCCCCAGTCTCTCCATGATGACTCCTCCCTATTACTTCCTCAAATCCTCCTTGTCTCCTAGTCCCGCCTATCTTGCTTTCCTATTGGCCAACAGTGCTTTATTCATTAACCAATAAGAGAAACATATTTACAGAATGACAGCTCCCATCAGGTGACTTGTTTTTTCACAGCTGGGAGATTCTAATTCAAACCTGATATACTTGACCCCCCTTGTTTGACAGACAGTGCCAATCATATCACAACTCTTGTTTTGTGGAAGGCCCTGCCTGATTCCAGCCCAACAGACTATTTGTGATCAAACCCTAGACATTGAACAATCTCATATATAAATACTTCAGTAAGTACTCATACAACGTCACTTTCAAAAGTTTTACTGCCACTATCGGCATTATACCTCAGAATCAAAATTAAATAATCCCCTGGGGGCTGGAGAGATGGCTTGGTGGTTAAGAGCACTGACTGTTCTTCCAGAGGACCTGGGTTCAATTCCCAGCACCCACATGGCAGCTCACAACTGTCTGTAACCCCTGCTGCAGTGGATCAGAAACCCTCACTTAGACATACACGTAGACAAAACACAGAAGTACATAAAATAAGGGGAAAAAACCCAATTCACATTAGCAAATATGCAGCCAGTGTCCAAATTTCTCTAACAATTTTGTAAAAAAAAAAAAATCAAAAATAAAGACAAACAAAACCCCACACATACACATAGTTATATAAGTCAAGATCCTCAGGTGTCCATCCCTCACGAAGGTGTCTTTTTATCTGTAAGTCCGTGTGTGTGTGTGTGTGTGTGTGTGTGTGTGTGTGTGTGTGTGTGTGTGTGTGTGTGCGCGTGCGCGCGCATTGGGAGAAGGCCCAGAAAGAGAGACTGAAGTCAGGATTCCATGGGAATAGTAAGGCAAACCTGTGGGAGCAAGATGCATTCACAGCCTACGATTTTGTCACCAAAACCAAAATAGCCTTAGGAACCACTCTGGGTACCCGTGGATTTCCATGGTGTGGAGTACATACGGATAAACCACGGAGCACCTGTACTCTGGGATTGAGGGGAGGAGGAAGGTGGGTTTTACTCCCTACCCATTTAGATTTGTACAGCTATTTTTTGTTCTACAGAAGGAGTCATCACAGTGTCATCAGAGAGCCAGCGGTGTGGATTCCCAACCAATAACTGAAGCAGGAAAGCAGAAACGGAAAGTGAAGAAGCCCAAAACCCACGGAGAGATGATTGGATGATGAACGTGAACAGCATCCCCAACCTCAGGACAAAGTGGTCATCAGGCAGGAGATCCCTTGGTGTCCCTGCCCAGAGTGCAGTGTCTGAATCCATGCCCAGGATGCACAACCTGAATCCCTATCCAGGATATACAGTCTAAATGTGACCAAAACAAAAACAATTGGGTAAAACATCAGATTATAATTGAAATGAGGAACACTCTGTGGAGAACTGCCCTATACTCTTAAAAGCAAAGTTAGGCTGGCAAAATGGCCGGTGTGGTTAAGGCACTTTGTCCCCAAGCCTGATGAGCTGAGTTCCATCCCCAGAGCCCATGGGTGGAATGAGAGAACCAACTCCCACAAGCTGTCCTCTGACGTCCGCACGAACTTCTTGTCCATTGCGCGTGTGAGCACTGGGGTACACACACCCTTACAAACACACAGAATAAATGTCATAAATGATTTTAATGACAGGGTCTTAGAAGACACTGTGTTGATAAGTAAGGAATGGTTCCAATTAAAGGATATTAAAGACACATGACGACTCAATGCTATGTTTTATAGTGTGCATAATTTCCCCTTTCCAATTTAGGACATTTATTGAAACAATTTGGGAAAGTGTAATATGACATGCAAATTGCGCACTGACATTGTAACAAGTGTCAATTGTATAAATTTGGAAACTGTGCTGTGATTACATAAGAAACTTGCCTGAATTTTAGACGTGAGAAGACGTGTGTGAAAAGAGTAATTCTCGTTAAATGCTAACATTTTGGGAATGTGGAGGAATCGAACATGTGAACTCTTTATACTTTTTGTAATTATTCATAACTTATTTCAAAACACAAAGTTAAATATATTAAGTTATTCTCATTGTTTTTTTCTGCTTTAGGAAGGAAGCAACATTTCCTTTTGTGATGACCAACCCAGGCAGGATGAAGGAACCAACCTATAAAAGCCGTGTTCACTGAAGACAGAGATGCTGATATGCTGGTCCATCCCCACCCTCCCAATTCCCATCTCCTTCTTCCCGTGACTCCCAACTTAGTCCTTTCTGAGACTCATAACTGTAATCCAGTGTCACCTGTGAATGGGTGCATATACTTCCGAATCTTTCAAAAAATGTTTTTATTCATTTTCTGACAATTTCACACATGCATATAATGTATTTTGATCATATCCCCCCCCCCTCCATTATCATCTTTCCTCCATTCCCAGGAAACTAGTTCTCCTTCCCAACAATTCTCCCTCCCTCCTGCTTTGAGGGGTGTATGTGTGTGTGTGAGAGAGAGAGAGCCAGAGAGAGAGAGAGAAAGAGAGAGAGAGAGAGAGGCCTACTGAATTTAAGGCTGTTTGCATGAGCATGGGTTAAGGGTTGCTTACAGGGAACATGGGCAACTTACCACTAGCTACACCACTGAAGAAAACGACTCCTTCCTCTAACATGATTCCAAGTCTTAAAACTCTTCATAGGTAGCTTGGATTTGAAGGAAGGCAGTAAAGCATACTTTGATTTCTGTGATCAAATTTCTGTCTCATATCCTGGATTTCTAAACAACCTCAAAGAGAGTTGGCTCTCAGAAGGCCAGAGGACCTACTGGGATTTCTGTGGTGGGCCACAGCTTACAGCTGAAAAAGTTAGAAAGATGAACATCTGGATGAACATCTGGAGAACTCCATCCTTCCCCAAACTTAGGGTGTGGTAGTTAATCTCAATTGCAATTTGATGGACTTTAGAATCACCATGGAGGTAAGTCTCTGGGAATGTCTGACAGGAATTTTCTACTTTAGGTTAACTGAAGTAGAAGATCCACCGCAATACACCATTTTCTGAGCTGGGTTACAGAAAAAGAAGTGTTCTAGGCACCAGTATTCATTTCTCTCTGCTTCCTGACTCTACACCATGGCTTCCTCTTCAGATGGACTGCCTCCCCAGAATCCCTAAGTCCAAACAAACCTTCCTTTATTGGGATCTGTTTTGGGTGAAAGGCCACACTCATTTCTTATGCTGGATTACAGCATGATATTAAACAATCAGGGAGTTCCAGTCTGTGTTTCACAAGGTAAATATTTTCTAGAACACATTTGGAGGTTCATGTCCAGTTTCTTTATAATTATTTGTTCAAAACATGCGTTGAATGAGCAAATAATCCACTTTGAAATAGCTTTATAACATTTAATTGTCAAGTATATTTGCTTATAACCTTGCATAGATAGAAACAAGGAAACTCGGGATATTTCTTATGAATGTATGCATTTAACAACACAGAAAATATCTAGCTTTTGTTAGAGTTCTACAGACTGCAGGCACTCCACACTGCTCTTTGTGTAATTCATTTAGCTTCAGTTTGTTTCAGGAGGCTTTTTATGTCCATTTGACAGATGGGGAAAAGAAAAATTGAGGCTCAGAAGATGCAAATAGCAGTGAGTGTGGGGGGAGCCTGGCTTTGTACCGACTTCTATGCAACCCCAGCATCCATGGTGTTCCATGGTCTAAGGCTGAACTCACAGTGTGGACCCCTGAGATTATAGGCTACAATGGAATCCCTAAGGTATGTCCTGAAACTCCAGGAGCCCAGGACTGGGGAGAGCCAATTGAAAAGTATGATCCAAACAAACAAATCTCACTGCACAATGTGGCCCAGCCAAGGCCATCAGTGTTAGCCAGAACTTATCTTGACTGGCAGTGATCCTGTGGAATAGCTCATCCTACAGCTTGTGTGTGTCATACATTATGAATTAAAGAAAGGCAGTGCCAGGGCTTGGAGACAGCCCAGTGGGTAAAAGTGCTTGTTCAGCATGTGAGCCTGAGCTCAGACCCCTAGCACCCACATAAAAAGCTGGGAATGGCAACAGGCATTTCTAACCCCAGTGTTGTAAGGGCAGAGGCATGCAGATCCCAGATACTGGCTCGTTAGTTCAGATCACTGCTGAGCCCAGTGAGAAGTCCTGCCTCGAAGGGTAAGATGGTGAGCTAACTTGCACCTCTGTCATCCACACACATCTGCATTGGCATGTGCATATACCGTGAACATGTGTGCACACATTCATACACTGCACACAACAGCAGAGGGGCAGGATCCCAGTTCTATGCTGGCGCCACTTTTTTATCATGTGGAAACTCGTTAGACACTAGGAGATGATGGACGGGACAGGAGGGTGCTGGCTCCCTGTTGTTGTTTTCTCTTTTGGTCAGTTCCTGACTGGAGACCCCAAGGAGACCAGCTAACACATGCTTTCATAAACGTGAAGCCAGAGAGCTGAGGGTCAGGGTTAGTACCTGTGGATGGATCTGGGAATGGAGAAGGATCGTGAATGTGCCAGGCTTGGTGGAGTCAACCATTGCATGGACATTGGTTTATTTTTTCCCCTAAGGATGTAATGTCTTCCTTGTCTCCTCCAGCTTG